TCCCAGCCCTTAGGATATACACATATATAATGCCTGCGCTCCTAGTTGACACAGTGCAGAAGTAAGTTTCTAACATATCTACAGGAAGACTCTGAGGCTGGAGATTGAGAAATGAGCAGTTAGATCTCCCATTCGGATGTGGAAATAAGCATCTGGAGGGGTCAGCCCCCTCCGAAACGGAAGAACCTACTAGCAACGTCAGTGCAAGAGGAGTCAGAAATGTGGGAGCACTGGCCATTTGGAATAATTATGACCCCACTGTTGAGAAAGAAACATTTTGGATAATGGGGACGCACCTCGATTCACTGGAACCTCATAAAGGAGTCATTCAGGATGAGCAACCTTAAGCAGGGAGGAGTGGTAGGGGTTGGAGAGTGGTCACTGCGGGAAAAACAGAGCTACAAGACGACACCAGAAGCAGAAACCTCGGAAAAGAAGGAACAGTGACACACTGATAGGCTATTTGGGACGAACAGCCTTAAGGAAGGAGCAATGTGATATGACACGTGAAAGCCAGAATAGTCCATTGCTAGACAAGACTTCAGTAAACACATTCTTGAGACTGGACAGTCAACAGTGGGACTACTGTTGCACAGCAGCAGGTTGCTATGCTTTGCAGCAATGGACAAAACACAATAACAAAATGACAACTGTTTAAGGTGGTGGTCTCTACTTGGTTCTCCCAAAGATATAAAGGGAGGAAACGTGAGAATGCTCAGATACAGTTCGTTCGTAGGCGAGTCATAATTAATTCCTAAGGGAGTCCAATGATTCAGTGATCTGAAGAAAGTCGTCTTCTGGGTTTAGGCGTCATGTATTCAGTGATTTGTTTGTCATTCAATACAGTGGCAGAGAAGACACTTGAAGTCCAGTAAGGAAAGTAGCAAGTCTGAGAAAGTCACCGATTGTGAGCTGGTCTAATTGGCTGTAATAACAGTGCCAATAAATCCAATCATTTAATCCAGAACCCTTTCCTAGGAGTCATGTAAACCCCTCATGCATGACAGCATGTATCATCTCTTGGCTGTCCTCACTGCATGGTTCATGGACTGTGGTTGGTTTGGTTCTTGTGAACCGTGCAACAGTTCTTCTCTAGTAAGATCTTGGAGGGGCTCTCTCTTTCCTCTTCTCCAAACACCACTACGCGAGGCCAATCCTTTCTTTCCGACTGATGTCTTTGGGTCACGTCCTTTTCCTCTTCCTTACGTCCATCTGAGGGCACGTGGTAAGCCCAGAATATGGAAGCATTCTCTTCTCCCTCTAAACTTCGAACCAGCAACATCACTGGCTACTAAATTATGTTTTTTGAACGGTTAAGTTGAGTTTGACAAATAATGTTTCAGCATGCAGCAGAAGACGACGGGGAGAAGCAGCCCTCACGAGCTAGTCGGGTATGACTACTCTGTGGAGGTAAAATATATATGAGTTTCCTTAAGAACACAAATAAGTGACTTGCCTGAGATCTTTGGTACACAATGAGGCGTGGTATAGTTTGATTTGTACATCGTTAGGCATGTTGTAATATCTGTTTAACCATTAATTGTAATAACTGTAATAGCCCTTCAGGCCTGTGTTTGATAATCCATACTCAAGTTACCAATTCAGTTCTATGTTTTTAGAAAAGTTGATTGAGTATGTGTACTGTGTCACCATACGTTCCACGGTAGAGCTCCTGCCCAGTAAATCCGCCGCGCCTGACTTGCCGTCCGTTTTGGTTTTTCTCCCTCAAGATCCCTTACTCGACCTTAGGGAGGCATATTGCACCACGGTGGCAAGCAAGTCGTTTTTATGAGTCTGTCCTTACCAGGAAGGGTAAGGGGATGGCTCACTTATTTTGCATGCAGCAGGTTCACTATCCCACTGTTTTTTCCTCGCATTAATTTTATGCGCTACATACATCATCATTATGGATCTTGTTTGTTGAGGGTATTACTGGATGAGGGGTCTGTACACAACTCAGAAGGACTTCTCATTCAATAATACCCTCAACAAATATAATGCATGATAACACAGCAAAAATAAGGAGACCTAACCAAAATCCAAGACCACACAGTAAAAGACCACTAAAAAAATAATAGACACTATATTACACATAACTGTTTGTAGCCACCAGCCCAGAGGAGTAACACTGTTCAACCCACCCAGTGTGCGTCTAAGTGAACAAACTGTGGAGGCTGAAAAAAATCTTTTACATGAACAAACAGTAGAAAAACTAAAAAGCTTTCTACATATTTTAAACACTGTAGGTACAGCTTCACCCTAAGCACATACAAGAGAAAAGTCAAGAAACCCCAAAACTATAAAAGAAATCACAGCATGAAGACACACTAACGTTTCAAAATTTAACACAACCCAACAGAAACTACAAAATAACACAGGCAAACAAGACGTTCTGGGAAGCCCTAACTGCCTACCTTCCATTCACTACAGTTTTGGGTATATGACATAAGTAGGAAAAAAACTTTAGCATGACTGGAATATAAAGTCAACAAAACAATACAATTTGGGGGGCTGCAGTGTTGGTATTACTAATGGAAGAAATACCCTTAGATAGTCTCAGATGGTATGACACATATACCAAGTTTCATGATCACTGGTTCTGCCATTCAAGTAACATTATCATTGCCTCGACAATAATACGAGAAGTTGCAGTTCTGGTATTACTGATGAGACAGATTCATGAAGTACACTGTTGAGATGGCTTCATGTGGCATGATGTGGACACCAAGTTTCATGAAGATTGGGAGAGGCATTCAGGCAGTATTAAGGTTTTGCTCCAGAAAATTTAGGGGCTGTAATGTTGGTATTATTAATGGGAGGGATTTATAAAGTATGCTATTGAAATGGGCTCAGGTGGCATGATACACGTACCAAGTTTCATAAGGATTAGTTGAGGCGTTCAAAAGCTGTTATTGGGGGATACACATAGACACACATGGTGATCCCACATGCCTACTTCTAAAATAAGGAAAGTAGGCTAAAAATTACAGACAAAAATGTAAAGAACAGTCAATTTAGCAGCTACATGTTAATTTGTGTAAGTAGCCTGATTATCGCCAAATATGTTGAAAACAAGTTGTGATAAAAAAGTGCATACAATTAATGGAATCATATCTGAACAAGAAACTTCATCCAGAATATGTAATTATTTTACTGAAATTTTTTGTGTTGGGTACCTTTATTTCATTCTAGATTCTAAGCATGCCAAGATCTCTAAACCTTTCATAACTCTTCTTAAAGCCTTCAACATTCAATGATGCCTGAATAATTAGTATTTCACCCAAATGAGCTAGCTGATTATTATTTCTCTATCAAAACTAGCACCAGTACAGTGGAATAAAACTTCCAAACCAAGTGTGCACAGAAATTCATAATGCATACTATAATATGGTTATATACTCTTCCCAGATAAACATTACACTTGCTACCCTTCCTCATAACACATCCAACATTTCAGTCTTTTTTATTTAAACAGTGACTACACTGTGATACTATCACAAACATACAATAGAAAATTATTACAAGAATTATGTATTTCATTTTCCAAAAGTTTCTCTCAAGGTCAAACATGTAAAAATAATAATAATAAAAAAAAACAGGAAAGAACAAGGAAGCTACCTATGTATCACTTTCTATTATAAACAACCAGATAAAAAATTTGAGTTGAAAAATACCAACAATCTGGTCACCGGGGTACTTATCACTGGTATGACATGAAGCCTGAGTTGTGAGCATCTAAGACATAGCACTTTGTATTATAATACTCATGTCCTTCTCATTCATTCATTCATTCATTCACTCATTTATTCTGCCATTCGTTCATTCATTCATTATTTTACTCTTTCCTTTGAATATTATGTTAATCTGAGGTCCATCTGAAATCCTGCAATCATTTCATGTCTTCCAGTGTATTTTATGTATATGCAGATGCTAAGAAAACTAAATAGCTTCTTCACTAAACAAATTAAATTGTAATATTTAAAATAAAATGAAACTCCAGCTCCCACTGGCAAACAGATTTGGCATTTTTCACTCCTCTTAAAACATTAAAAGCATAACCCTAGACATCATACATAAAGATCTTTAACATTCTTAAATTAAAACTGTGTTAATAAATGTTAGTCAATGAGACATATCATTGCCCTGACCCCATATCTATTCCTACTATAATTTTCTCGCTGAGAAATATAGACCTGGTAATAATAGTAACAAGCATCTATAATTCAAAACTATAGAAAGCATCATCTCCTCCCAGTTTTTATAATAGTAACACATGAATAGAAAGTAAGTTTTAACTTGGGCAATACCAAATCCCCAGTTATGTCACAATGAGCCAAGGAAGCTAGCTATATCCACTTATAACTTAGCTACAATACAGCAAGTCAAGTATCGTTCTCAGACAAAACAAAAGCTCCAAATTTGTGACAACCCTTTCACATCTCATAAAAACCTGGTCTCAATCTCACATTGTAAGGATCTTTAACATATATGATTGATGTAAAAAGTGTAGCACAATTATTCATATAAAAATGACTACAAATTTACTGTATTTGTCTGATCCTGTCGGCATGTAATAACATAGACAGGGATACAATTAATAAAATAGTTTCTTCCAAAGTTGATATTTAGTGCATTAATTAAGGCTCAATCATTTGCTCACATGAGTATCAACCACGGAACAACATTTCAATTATAGTTCAAATACCATGGTAATATTTACTTCTTATTACTGTTTATTGAAAAGGGCACAGCAGAGCCACTGAACCAGCATTTGTACACAGCAAAATTGCTTTGTTCAGAGACAAGCAGCTGCAAAAGCTCATGAATCATCTATGGTAACAATGACTAAAAAGCTGCTTTATTGCACAAATAAATACTGACAAGATGCTTCACATAAAGATTTGTGCCAGACATTACATGAAGATGTTGCCAGTCCACTGCCACATGATTAGGTAGCCCACTGCATGTCCCTGAATACCAAAATAAATTTAAATTCATACCTCTCCACAGCCTCCCAGAGCATGCTCAGTCATGCTAAGACAGAGTGACTCCAGACGTGAGTTGATCTCTGGATCGACAGTAGATGAATTATTTTCTGGAGTTGGGCATTCTGTTCCTGGTCCAAAACTTAATCCACTGAAGTTATTGGGCTTTGGTGGAGCTGAACGTGTCCTCTGCAGCGAAGTATGCATCTGCAAAGGCTGTAATCAAATACAGGTTACCAGTGAACGGCTGGAGGGACACAGGTGGGAATTACACTAGCCATATCAACTGTATCTACCTACTACTGCTCAAAACTGAAAGATAATTTCATTCTGGTTATTAAATAAAAATTCAATTCATCACCTATTCCATTCAAACAACAGCTACTTAGTGGAAGCAAACAAGTTTTTAATTGGTATTAGCATTATTAAGTGCTACAGATAATACAAGTGCTCTGCTTTAAAAAATTCAGAGCATCTCATATTTTTAATTTATGATGCCCTGAAACTTGATGGCATATTACTAAGACATTACTCTATATGTTGTAAATATCTGCAATCCATCACAATTGTCTGTTTCAACACTCCTTCACCAAGAGACCAAAAATGGTTTGCACTATGAAAGTTCTGAACAGGAGGGGAAGAATAAATGCAACTGAAGTGCCACTTCTGATTTCAATGTAACTGCAATTACCAAATTCACTGCCAGTATTACCCGATACTTTTTCTAACAGATGTAAAACTGGATCATTCTCATTAAGTTTTCACAACAGCATCTCATGATGGTTTTAAATGCTAAAGACCATAGGCTGAATTACAAGAATCATGAGTTTCATTTCCCATGACTTCTACATTAAGAAAAGCATTGAGATAAAAACCACAAACTTGAACCCCAATCTGAGTGCTTCTTTAGCCAGAAGAAATGCAACTGCTCAGAGTGGCAAATCCATTCACACCACCGTAACAAGGATGCAAGTCACTGGCTTTGGAGCAGGGGATGCATGCTGCTGATCCATGTCACATGGCAGCGAACGTGTTGAAACTTTCTGCTACTATCTACGTATAGACATTCAAATACTTAAAAGCACCAACATGTGAATGCTTGAATACATGCATGCACACACAAACATGTACATTTATATGCATGCTAGAACACTGTTAATGGTGGGCTTTTGGCCGCGCCATAGCTCAAACAGTTAGCCAGTAGCTTCCCACTGCAGTGGCCCAGGTTCGATCTCGGGTCTGGGCAAGTTGGATTTGTGGCGGAAAAAGTGGTGCTGGGGCAGGTTTTCTCCGAGTACTTCGGTTTCTCCTGCCAATCTTCATTCCACCAAATTCTCCATCATCATACTCACCCGGGGCAGGCTACAATAGGCCAATGAATGGCCGCCCACTATGAGAAAAAATGGTGGGCGTTTGCAACTACATTAATGAAGCCAAAACATGGAATTTCTTGACCAGCTGGCTAAATAATGTCTCCAGCACTATCATGCAACATTACACTATTATTATTATTATTATTATATTATTGTGGAGGGGGTGGGTTTCCCCATGCACTGCGACCAGTTGTTGATCTATTGTGCGTCCCCCTATAATTATTCTACTAGTCACCATGCCCTTTTCCAGTACTGGTGCTCACTATCAACCCCGTTCTGCCAGCGAGGTCGGCCCTCTCTGGCAGTGGTCCCCAATACTTCCCCATCTACCGGAGGAATTGGAAACTACTTGGGCGGGAAAGTTTGCCTAATTTTGCTCAGAGGTCTCCTAGAGAGACACGAGGATCTTTTACGTGCTGTAAATCTACGACACAGGACAAACGGTTTAAAGTCCCTCCCAGAGGACTTGTTCCCTGAATTTTTCCACCCTTAAAAATGGGTTTGAAACCGCGTACCTTGAGTCATGAGGTGGGAACGTTACCCCTAGACTACGGAGGCCGCTACCATCACACTAACCAATGGGTGAGTAATTCTCACCATAAATACTTGCACACATAAGTCTTTCATTGTTTTCTGGGTTTTATTCACAAACTGCACAGACTTGTAACTTGGGGGCCAAGAAACCCAATTTTGCATATCTCTGGTCTAATTTCTTTATTTATGGAGAAATCAGACTACTTTTAACTCTTTGACTGGCACGAAGGGTATTTAAATCTCACCCCTGTCCTGGCAGGCCCTTTAACCCGTTGCCGTGGTTTGACGTGTATGTTTCGTCAGGTATTTAAATCGTCTGGGGGGGTTCGACGTGTATGTTTCGTCCAGCTGCACACGTATGTTATAACGCCCATAATAATTGATGGTTTTGCTGTAGATTGTTAGATTTTTCACTGGCCTGTTGTCAGGAGGACTGTATTTAATGACACACGCGTTTAAGAGCGCTAAGTCGTCGTTACATATGCCTGTCTTGCAGCAACGT